TAATATGTATGGTAACACCCATTGTTTCATGTTCTCTCTGTGTGTGTGTATATATATATATATATATATATGCACTACATGCATCCGATGAAGTGAGCTGTAGCCCACGAAAGCTTACATTACAATAAATGTGTTAGTCTCTAAGATGCCACAAGTACTCCTGTTCTTTTTAGTAAGTAACCTGTATTTCTTCTTCAGTTGGCCAACTGAGGGTACTGTTTTGGGTAGAGGTCTCCAGTCTGGGCCTCCAGTCAGAGGCATGTACAGAGGGGCAGATCCATATATGAAAATAATCATACTCTCATTGTGCTTGCTGCTTGTAGTTTTGAAGCACCCATGGCACAGAGTGGAGACTGCCTCAGGAACACTTCTAGAAATCAGACAGAGCTCTGTCCCTGGACCTCAGAGCTGAGTACAACGTCCCTCAGGGTGTTAGCACATCCAGACAGCATTTTGTCCCATGCCAGCTAACCCTATTGACCACTCTGGAAAACCTCATTTGTATGGTGGCCATGGCACAAACCTCACACACCAGTAAGTGTAAGTGATGGATGTCTCTGCCTTTAGTTGTGACCATAAGAGTTCCAGCCTAGTTAATTAGTTATTTTTCAAAGACTTGATGCAGGCCTCTGATTCCCTCCAAGATGGGAGGAACTGAAGTTGGGTGACTGAAGCCCTGTTGATGTTGGGCCTGACTGTTCCATTTAAGGATGGGCATCCTTAGGTGTTACTATCACCCTTCATGTGCAGCAATAAATCCAAAGCAGACCTACAACCACTCTATATCTTCTCTGCCGATCCACGGAAATGCACTTAATAGAAAAGAAGATGGCTCCAGGCACTTCTTGTTTACCTTGCAAAGAGGCTTTGAAACCAATAAGCCAGGGTGGGCAAACTATGGTCCATGGGCCGGATGTGACCCACCAGCCATTTTAATCCAGCCCTTAAGCTCCTGCTGGGGAGCGGGGTCTGGGGCTTGCTCCACTCCGGCACTCCAGCCAGGTAGCAGGATCGGGGGCCGCTCCATGCAGCTCCCCGAAGCAGCAGCATGGCCCTCCTCCAGTTCCTATGCATTGGGCCAGCCAGCGGGTTCCGCTCTGCACACTGTCCCCACCAACAGTGCCACCTCCGTAGCTCCCCTTGGCCGGGAACCACAGCATATAAACACTTATTGAGATTTGCCATATATTCCTGAAGTTAGGTGCATGGGCACTTTTGAAAGTCCCACTAGGTGCTTATTTGCATCATTAGGCACCTACACCTTTGAAAATCTGGCCCTAAATCCTTAGGGATAGGCTGGAAAACTTCTTAGAATCCAGGGAAATGAAAGTTCTAGAGCTGAATACATTGGCTGGGAAGATGCTGAAAGTAAGAGAATCTAAGAATGGATTTCTCTCTCTCCTTTCACTTTCAGGATGAGGTCTGTTAGAAGGAACATCAGAAAGGAAAACAATCCCCCTCACAAGCAAGACACCAAGCCTTTGCATCTCAAAATGGCCAAGACATGTGAAGACACCATTCTATAACTCAGAGATTCCCCATCCCAGATCTGATCAGACACTTGTAATGTTTTCCCCCTTCCAGTGTTGTGAGGACATGCACATTAGATCAGTTTGTCACACCAGTATGTTAGACACAGAATCAGCAGCACTCCAAATATCGCAGAGTGGAGACTGCAGTACCAGACTCCACTGCCCTGGGCATATCCAGGGGCTTCACTGTTCCCAAAACACTAGACAAGGCACTTGTATCTGTCAAAGGTGTTAGATCATCATGCTGCAATCGCCATCACTAGAGGTTTTTAAGAGAAGGTTAGAACTGCCAGGGATCATCATCCCCTGAGGGCAGGGGACTGGACTAGATGACCTCACGAGGTCCCTTCCAGTCCTATGATTCTATGATTTATCCCTTTGCATGTTACCTTTCACAGACCATCCTTTTTCTATGATAGTAAAATAACACAATATCCAACATGTGAAAAGGTCAGGTTTGAGACAGATGGAGAGACAGTTCTCAGCAGCCTGAGAACAGGAAGAAAAAAACCTTTCTACTCTTAAGGACACTGCCTTCCTCCTCAAGGGCCCTCCTGTCCCGCTAGAGGACACCCCTCTCCTCCTCATCACACAGCTATTGGTTTAGGCATGGATCCTGTGGTGCTGCATTGCAGAGAATACATGATCCCAGTCAAAGAGAAGCGATCTCTGCTGGGCACACCCACTCCTGCCTCTGCTTCTCCTGGGGGAGCTGCTGGTATTTGCCATCTCCTCCCCAGTGCCTGCCATTGTTCCTCCTCCAGCACAGGATGGCCTCTATCCCCTATTCAGGCAGCATTCTAAGGGTGTTACTGTGTCATGTGGTAGCTGCATGTTGCATATAATCCATTATCAGAACCTCAGCACAACTCCATATACAAAAGGTGCCTCATAAAAAAAAATTGCACCTACCACCTCCATGAATTGGAGACATGCAATCCTATTATATCTCCTTTGCCTCCTACTCCTCTTCTTCTCTCATCCTCTCTTCATCCTCCTAAAATACTAGTGTATTTCCCTCCCATCCCTTCCAAAGACACTATCTCTCCTCTCCTTGCCTCAGTACTCCACCTCTCCTCCACTCCAACCTCTTCCATTTTCAGAATTTTTAAATATCAGATTTTCTGTTTCTGCTGCCATTCCAGAGTGGAATTTTCTGATTTTGAAATGGAAAAATCAGTTTTAGCTATGAGGGGACGGAATGAAAAATTAGAAACTGGATTGGTATGTCAGGCCCTACCTCCAATAATCTTGCCTAGTGGTTAGACCATGAGCCACAGTTAGCTGTAAGGTTGGGCCTGGCTAAGGGTTGTCCTGGAATGTTGATCCAGAGACAGTCCAGGGTCAAAAGCTAGATAAGATTCTGAAGCCAAATGAGGATCAGGACCAGAGCCAGGTGGTCAGGGTTTAGGGAGGATCAGAAGATGGAGGCCAGGCTGGATTGGGTAAAGTGACGAGACTGCAGCGAGTCTAGTCTGGGGGAAGAGAATGGGCAGGGGAAAGGACTGGGAGTTGCTGTAGTCTGCTGCACTACGAGGCAGCAGGAGGGTTCATGACTGGGTAGTGCTGTTGCTCAGACTCATCTGCAGCTCTGTTGGCACTGTGGAAATATCTGACCATTTCTCTACTTTATGATAGGTTGCTGCCGCATGCTTGAGGGGTGACTCACAGCAGGCCCTGCTGAGTGTGGACTCAGTGCAGCAGCTGAGTGACCAGCCCTAGTTTGGATGACAGTTTACCTCACAGCCAGGCCTGCTCAGTTAATCTTTTATCGTGAATGGATCCTTATATATATGCTGTAATTACAGATGACCAGACTTCAATCGACTGGACATGAGGGGTGTGCAATGTAGCCCTCCCACTTCCAAGGGATCAGACAAAGCCCATCCTGGATGGGCATCTCCTTTTCTCTTCTTTTTCTGTTGGAAATCAGACCAAGTGACAATTGATCTATTGTAAATAACATTTGCACCCAAAGGGCAGAAAGAAGGAAAGCCAATGAGACCAGCATGGAGGATTCTGTGTGTGACTGATTGGAGCTCATTGCACTTTACATGGAGGGAAGGAGGAAGAGAGTGGTTGGGATTGCTCCTCTTTTTCCACCTTTGGGATGAGAGGGGAGAAAAGTGTGAGCGACCCCAACAGACGCTGCCTTCCCAAACATTACGGTAGCTCCTGGCACAGGTGCCTTGATTCTACAAGTGGAAATATGAAGAGGCCACTCAAAGAAGAATGACTATTAAAGCCAGGTCATTGGTACGTAGTAATCCAAATCCATTTGTCATTATAGGAATGTGTGATCCCAGCAACAGTAACAATTTTAAGATAACATTTCCAATCGGTTCTGAAATGTATTCATAATATTCTATACCAATCAATAGTTTATTAAGGTGGATATTCAGACCAGAATACTCACGTCTATAACTGATGAACGGCTTGATGATGCAGATGATGATCAGGAT